TTAGTGCAGGGCCAAAGCAGCGAGCCCCGGTATAGCGTTATGTGGGGCGAACCCCAGGCTCCATCCCAATGCGAACCAAATGGGCGTGCGCTATACCCCGCCAGGAGTCCTGTGTAAGCTGTGGCCCCACACACCGCTCCGGATGCCCACCCCCAGAATGAGGCGCCTCACGTTGTTAGTCGCCACAGTTATTCGGTATAATGGTCGCAACAAAAGAGAGAAAGAGAGATAGGAAAACAAATCAGAGAAGAGTATGTGACGGGATGTACACATTGATCGTCAAACATGCGGGAACTGGGGAGAAAAAGGATGTAGGCTATTGGGATGTGGAGCCCCTAAGAACTTGAGTCCTCGAGCCTATGTGCTCCAGTTCTGGCTCCAGAAAGAAGACACCGGACGTATACTATCTGACGGACACTGCACCGTACCGACTGCCATCATACGTGTAGTTTTCGAATGAATATTCTCATGTCGCAATTTCTCCTTATCTCTTCAATTCTGCGCAAATATGACATCGCACAACGACACAAACTTGCTTATGGTTGCAGCCGTCGCGACATTCTGATAAATCTGCCCAACAGTTTCCGCCGATGCATTGCGCAAATGACCCGACTTGTGGATTAGAATGCGCCCGCGTTCTGGATAAGTTTTCGTAGAGGTTTACACGGACCGCATTCTGGACATATGTAAACATACATACACACATACCTACCTACCTACCTACCTACCTACCTACCTACCTACCTACCTACCTACATCCATCCATCCATCCATCCATCCATCCAGCGATCCATCCATCCATCCATCCATCCATCCATCCATACATACATACATACAAACATACATATACACACATACATAATACATACATACATACATACATACATACATACATACATACATACATACATACATACATACACACACATACAAATACGTACGTACACCTATACATACACCTATACATACATACATACATACATACATACATACATACATACATACATACATACATACATACATGCATACATACATACACACACATACATACATACATACATACATACATACATACATACATACATACATACATACATACATACATACATACACACATCTATATCTACACATCTATATCTATATCTATATATTTATGTGCGTTCCTAATCCGTATATGCACGTATTATATATCAATAGAAGACCGAACACGGCCTGTGCAAACACTGCTCCAGAGCGGAGCCAGATACCGACCCGGCATGGTGGCAAGCATTGATCCGTACGCCGCCCCTGCGCCTGGGCCCGGGACTCTCCCCAGAGTATTCATACGGCAAGTTCGCGTCGTGACGACCCCCGCGTTGGTTTCTGACACCGCGTGGATCGTTCAACCTTGAACGATCGGCGGCTTTTCCGTCGCTCGATCGTTCCATGTAGGCCGACTCTGGGCCACTGGCGGCGTTAAACCTTGAACGTCCGCGGCGGGGTCGCCGCTGGTCGACACGACACGAACCTACCGTATATTTTCTATAAGGCCGGGGACCCAGGAAAAAGCCCCCCGCGGCCCCCCACCCAACGAATTTGGCCCGCCCTGGGCCTTTCGAGCAGCCCCCCGGACGACCTGGGATGACCTCACGAGAGCTCGAAGTCGACCCCAGAGGGCCCCCGACATTCCGGCGCGCGCCGGAAACGACCCCAGAGAGCCTCAAGACGGTCGACGACGACCCCAAAGGAGCCGTCATACCCCAAAAGATCGCTCCAAAACATCCCAAGAGGCCTCCAAGAGCACTCCCAAGACGGTCCCAAGAGGTAGTATCCATTGATTTTCTGGTGGCTTGTAGGTGGGGGATTTGGGAGTTCTCCTCTTTTCGGCTTGCCGGCGGTCCAAGACGGTCTACGAGGCCCCCAAGATCGCCCTAAGATGGCCCGACAGACATCCAAGAGGTCTCCAAAGGGGCCCAAGAAGGCCCCAAACATGCCCAAGAGGGCCCCTAGACAGTCCTGATAGGGTCCCAGGAGGCCCCAAGAGGCCCCCAAAAGGCCTCCAAGAAGCTCCAAGAGGTCCCCAAGAGTTCAAAAAGATCCCGCAAGGATCCCACAGAAATCCGAAACGCCCGAAAAGGCCCCCAAGACAGGCCCAAAACGCAACGTCCCGCAGAGGCCCTCAGAAGGCTCCGGGAGGCTGCAATGAAGTCCACGTGACGTTAACACTCTGAACGCGAGGATTCCCAAGAGCGAACGGCGGCGCAAAACAACTTCAGCGTCGAGATAATCGAGCCCCGCCGCGACACGGTCCTGAGGCCCCCCAATGCCCTCACACGGCTCCATCCAGTCCCAAAAACACAATCATTGGTAAGCCCAGGTCGCCGTTCCGCATTCTGCTGTGTCCTCCATGCCGTCTCCTACCCAAATCTTTCGGCACTCGCGAGCCCTTCACTGTGTTTCTGGCCCCCCCTCTGTGGCCACGACGGCGTACATGTATATAGACATGCATATGTGTACTCGTAGATCTGCCCAAATAGACGACATGATACATATATATATATATATATACGTATGCGCAAACATATATACACATATATAGATGAACGTAGATTATATACCCACCACATTTCTATACATATATATATATATACACATACACATCTACATGTCGATACATGATCCCAGGCTCCGGGCCCACGGGCCCTCTCCCCCTTCCCCCCCAGATTGGCCTGAGAGTTCCTCGGACCCCCCCTCACCTGACGGGATGGGGGGGGGACGACGCCGCCGACGACGGCGACGTCGACAGCGACGACGGCTACGACGACGGCGGCGACGACGACGACGACGACAGCGACGACGACGACGGCGACGACGACGGCGACGACGACGAAGAAGACGACGACGACGGCGACGACGACGACGACGACGGCGACGACGACGACGACGACGACGACGACGGCGACGACAACGACGACGACGACGGCGTCGGTGGCGGCGGCGGCGCCGCCGCCGCCGACCTCCTGAGCCCTCCGACGATGACGGCGGCGGCGGCGGCGACGACCTCCGAAGCTCTCCCGGAGCACCACGCCACACACGCCATACCCACAGCACCGCACCACAGGGGGGGGGGCCGCCGCGCGGGGGGGCGGGCTCCGATGGCATCAGCATCAGCAGGAGGGGGGGGGCCCGGACCCTGGACCATGTGTGTATGGCGTGCACGCGCGCGCGCGCGTATGACATGTATGCTCATATTCGCGCGCGCATGTCGGGTCGGGCGAAAGGGAGGGATAGCAAAGGGGGGGTTTGAGAATCAGCTCGCGTAGCTGATTTTCCTGGCGCCTCCCGGCGCCGGAGGCGGCTATGTATCGAGGAATGGGCCCCTCGGTGAGGCCGAAACCAGCTGCATGCAGCAAATTTCGTAACCCCCCCTTTCCCAATTCTTCCCTTTCGCCCGGCCCGAGCATGTGCACGCGCACGCACGCCGACCGCGTGCGAAACTCGGAGGACCAAGTTGCATGGCGCGAAGCACCACTGCAGTCTTGTACCTATATATATACACACATAATGTACATATACACACCTGTATTGCCATCGCCTGGATAGTTACCCCTTCAAAAGAGAACGGCCTTGTCCAGACTGGCAACGTCCCTGCCGGGCCTAGCCAACGGGCCCAAAGGGTCAGGAGAGGGACCAACCGGCCCATCAAGAGCCCCAAACGGTCCAAGACAGCGATCAGACGCGCGAAGACGGCCCAAAGAATACCCTGAACATGCCTCCAAAAGTAAAAAAAAATGCCCTATGGTTATTGCATAAAAAGTGTGGACATTCGGTTATTTGGTCTTCCGGGCGTTCGGAAATCGCTCCCAAACGATCCACAAGTTCCTGCAGAAACCCACGAGAGCCCCAAGACGGCCCAACAGGGCTCCAAGATGGCCCGAGGAGAAAACCCATGACGCCCAAAGATGATCCGAAGGACTCCAAATCGTGGTCCGTCGTTGAGGGAGACTGTGGTTCGTAGCAAGGTGGCCTGATGGAACCCTCAGATGCTCCCACAGGGCGCAGAGGATGCACATCCGCAGAAGAGAGAGGCGCCGCCACCAAAAAGCCCCCCAAGGACTCCCCCAGAGGACTTGCAAGGATGAGCCTCCGCAGAGAAAAGCTGGTAGTGCACATACATACATGTGTATACAAACATGCACACACCTATATATATGTATACATACATACATACATACATATATATATATATATATATACATATATATATGTATACACATAGCACTGCGCCACGAGGCACGAAGTGGAATGCTCCCCAGGCTTCTGGAGTTTTCTGCACTCTGCACTCAATATCCGAATGCTCTATTTAAGGGCAGGGAGCTGAAACAACTCAAATCTCCCGGGCGCTCTCGCGCTTTCTCGGGCTTCCATCACTTCCAGAGGCACGAGGACCCACCGGTCGGGCCAACACAGGGCCTCCAGAAGCACCCAAGAGGGCTCACAGGGCATCCAAGACAGCCCGACAGTGCTCTAAGACGCCCAAGACGACCCCATGACGGCCCCAGAGACCCCAAGACGCCACAAGAGGGCTCCAAGAGGCGTTCCAAGAGAGCCCCGAGGTGCCAAAACTGTTGACGTTCCTTGGGTTTCTGAATGGTTTTCGTGTTCTCGCCTTTTCTGGCTTTCGACGCTCCAAGGCGGCCCAAAAAGCGCCCAAGTACGCCCCCAAGACGGCCCAAGAGAGCTCCCAAGACGGTCCAAGAGAGTTCCAAGAGGTTTCTCCAATAGTTCCCAGAACGGCTGGGGGAACACACAGTCCAATGGCTTGGCCGAGCCATGGCCACAACGTTCGGCCACATAGTCGTTTCCGAATAGGCAAGGGGCAGCGGTGATTTGCCGTAGGCTTCTTCTTTCTATGAACGGGTACCAATAATTTCATATGGATGCATGCGTACACAAAGAGAGAATCGCACTTGAGGCCGTCAGCACGGGAGAGACAAACGAGGTGCGCTTTGGACATTCTGGTCGCACGCCAAGGACGCGACTCGCACGTCCAAATATTCGCCGTCCGTTCAGCCGTGGCGGCAACTACAATGTAAGTGATCGGAAGATGATGGCAAGGGATGTTCTTCAGGAAGGAGGGGGGCAAGGACTGGGGCGGATGAGATGGGGGTAGCAAGTGGGCGCTTAGCGAACCAACTCCGAGCTGGTTCCAACGCATCCAGGAGCCGGGAGCGACCGTGTAAAGAGAAAGCTGCCGAGGCGGGGACCGCACGTTCCAGGGCGGGGTGGGGCTAATAATCGGGCCCCTTATATCGGTCATGAATGGGCGGTCTAGAGGGAGTCAGGGGCAGCGTTAGCGCCTCACGTTGCCCTTGCCCCCCTCCCTCCTCAAGCGCTCGTTGTTCGGTTTATCGGCTCACCCACTCACTCACTCACTCACTCACTCGCTCACTCGCTCGCTTCCTTCCCCCCGCGTCGTCGCCATCATCCCCCCTGTTCCCGAAGCGGGGACAGACCAAGATCTCCGACGCCGTGTCTTTTCCCAACTCTCCTGCGTTGGGTTCTCGTTTTGAATTGAACACTGCGCTCGCAACCTTCCAGCCCGTTTGCCCGCCTCCTTTCTCGTTTCTTTCCTGCTCCTCTCCTCTCCTGTTTTGCCCAGCCCTCCTGCGTTGGGTTTTCGCTTTGAGCCAAGCACTGCGGTCCTTCCCGCCTCCTCCCTCCTCCATCTCTTCCCTCCTCCTCCTCCTCCCCGCTCCCCTCCTGCCTCTGACCTGGCATGCACCTGCCTGCCAGCCTGCCTCCCGCCTCGCCGCCCTGCGTCACCTCGCCATCCCCGGGGGGCTGCGGTTTGCGAAGCTGCCGCCACGTCTGAGGGCCGCCGGGGGGTCCAGCGGCGCCGCGCCTCACGCGGACCCCACTTCGACCTCGCCATCCCCGCGGGGGGGCTGCGATGTGCGAAACTGTCGCCACGCTCGAGGGGCTGCTGGCGGTCCAGCGGGCCAGCGCCCCACGCGGACCCACATGAGGCCTCGCCATCCCCGTGGGGCTGCGACCTGCAAGACCAGCACTGCGTTCGAAACGTGCCGCGGGGTCCGGCAGAGTGACGCCCCACTCGAGCGCAGACTTGACCTCGCCATCCTGGGGGGGGGTCTGATGCGTGACGCCGCTGCCACTTTCGAGGGACGCTGGGGGTCCAGCGGTGCCGCGCCCCACAGGGAACTAAATCAGACCTCGCCGCCCCCAGGGGGGTGCTATCTGCGAGTCCGTCGCCACTTTCGAGGGTTGCTGGAGGGTTCGGCGGAGCGACGCCCCACGCGGACCCAAGCTCGACTGGCGGGCTGCGATCTGCGAGAATGTCGCCGTTTTCGACGGCTGCTGGGGGGTCCAGCGGTGTTGCGCTCCACGCGGGCCCAAACTTTACCTCGACATCTGAGGCGCTGCGATCTGCAAAACCATCTTCACGTTCGAGGGCTGCGGGGAGGGGGGTTCAGCGGAGCCACGCCCCACGCAGACCCAAATTCGACCTCGCCATCCCTTGTGTGCTACGATCTGCTGAACTGTCGCCACGTTCGAGGGTTGCGGTTAATCAAGCGGAGCGGCGTCCCACGCGGACCGAAATTAGCTGGCCGTCCAACGGGGGCTGCGATCTGCGAAACCGTCGCCACTGCGGATCGAAGTCACGCGAGGATCTAGATACCACTTCGCAATTGTAATCTTTTGTACGAATGTGCGCGGCAATAAAGGGAGATCCAACTTTTGAAAACCACCCGCACTCTATCCGTGAAGCTCTTACAAGAGTTTCACGGGTGGAGGGCCGGGAGTTCTCAACGTGGGCCTCTCGCCTCAGCGCCGCGCAGCGTCGTCTCACAAGCTTTCAGGAGCTTCGCGAGATGGAGGGCGGGTGGTCTTCAGAACGTGGCGCTCGCCGTAGCACCGCACGCACACGTTGCAAACGTTTGCAAACGCGTTATAGGATGGAGGGCGGGTGGCTGTCACAACATAGTTCTCGCCGCAGCGCCGCGCGCAGCCGTGCGGAACGTCTACACAAAAGTTTCACGGGAGGAGGGCGGCCCCTTTGCAACCTGCGGCCAGCGCCGCGCGCATGTGTCCTGCCAGGTTTCGAGAGCTTCACGTATGGAGGTTGGGCGGTTTTCAAAGTTTGGATTTCGCATACAGTCGGGGCCTTGACCGAAGGAACCCAAAATAGGGAACGAGGCCCCTTTTTTCCGTAAGTTCAACTTCGATCTCCGATCGAAGACATCAGGAACATCTGAGGCAAGCTGCGAAACACTTCAGGCACGCGGAGCCCCTCCCCAACGAAAAGGGTTCCTTCTCTTCAGGGCCCCGACTGCAGCGCCGCGCACACTCGCTTGAGAAGTGTGCAACTGTTTACAGCACCTGCGCGCGGCGCTCCTGCGAGAGGCACGCTTTGAAGACCACCCGCGCTCCATCCGCTCAGCTTGAAAGCTTGTAGGACGATTGTGCGCGGCGCCGAGGCGAGAGCCACGTCTTGAAAATTGCCGACCCTCCACCCGTGAAACCCTTGCACACTGATGCAACGAATGTGCGCGGCGCTATGCGAGATCCAGATTTTGCAGACCACCCGCCCTCCACTCGTGAAGCATTCACTCCCGCCCTCCATCCGCGAAGCTCTTGCAAACTTCTATATAGAACGAATGCACGCGGCGCTAACGCAAGAACCGATGTTTGAAAACGACCCGCCCTCCATCGGCAAAACTTCTTCAGGCTCGTCACGCTTAGGCAGGAACGACACTCTGAGACGAATGTGCGCGGCGCTTCGCGAGAACCGCATTTTGAAAACGACACGCCCTCCATCCAACATTTGAGCTCAAAAACCATAAACGATAAAAATATAAGGCGAAACGCCCAGCCCGCCCTACCAACACGTCCCGGGGTGCGACAGGGAGGCATCAGTTATAAAAGAACTGGGATGGAGGAGGAGAAACAAAAAGCGGCGGAGACGGAGGAGGAGCAGCAGCAGGAGGGAGGGAGGGAGGGAGGGGAGGGGGGAGGACAAGCTAGGTGCGCTCGCGTCATATCTGACATCCTACCCCTCCCTCCCATCCCTTACCATGGCGTAGATCCCCTCTCTACTCGCACAGTCGGATGTCGAGCAAGGCAATGATCCCGAAATGGTACGCGATGCATTGTAGAGCACGGCGTGGCATGGCGTAGAAGAGCACCGCAAAGCGTAGTATCAACCTAGCATTGCATTGCATGCCGTGGCATGGCACGGGAAATGATGCCAGCGCTGCAGCGGGAGCACGAGTCGAAACGAGCGGAAGCGCGGAAATGAGGCCAACGCTGCAGCGGGAGCACGAGTCGGAACGAGCGGAAGCACGGAAATGATGCCAGCGTTGCAGCGGGAGCACGATTCGGAACGAGCGGGGCCCGAAAATGAGGCCGGCGCCTCAGCGAGAGCAGCATTTTGGAAAAAAATGCAGGCGAAAACCCAACTCCGGGGGAACCTGTGTGTAAAAAAACTGTACGCGGAGGGGGGCGGCTACTCACAAGACGTCGTCAGGGGAAGAGGGAGAGTAGTATTCATATTGAGTAAGTGTGGAGAAGGAGGTGTGGGGAAGAGGAGGAGGAGGAGGAGGAGGAGGGAGGAGGAGGGGAGGAGGGGAGGGGAGGATGAGGAGGAGGAGGAGGAGGGAGAGGAGGGGGAGGAGGAGGAGGAGGAGGAGGAGGAGGAGGAGGAGGAGGAGGAGGAGGGAGGAGGAGGAGGAGGAGGAGGAGGAGGAGAGGAGGAGAGGAGGGCAGGAGAAAAGAGGAGGAGAAAGAGGAGGAGGAGGAGGAGGAGGAGGAGGAGGAGGAGGAGGAGGAGGAGGAGGAGGAGGAGGAGGAGATACAGGAGGGGGAGCACTGCGCAGCCTGGCGCCCGCCCAGAGCGGCGGAGGCGCCCGCGGCGCTCCGGACGGCGGCGGCGGCTCCTGCGAGCCAGCGAGGCCGGCGCGCTGCGAATTGCAGGCTGGAGGCGCGGCGGCGAGCGGCACGGCCGCTCGCCGGCGTCGCGCGCCGCGCTCGCGCTGCCTGGGCAGCGCCTCGAGACGCAGAGAGGGGCAAAGGGGGGCTGGCACCCAGGGAGAATCGGCATCGTTTCGCGGATCCCCGGCCCCGCTGGGCCACGGAGCCTCGCCCCGGCATCCCCGGCCCCCCCAGTTGGGGATCCGCCACCGCGCCTCTGGGCACGAACTGGGCGTGCCCTCCGGTCCCTTGCCTGATCCTCCAAGCCTCAATCCTCACTCCTCCCTCTTGGGGCCGTCTTGGGGCCCTCTGGGGCCGTCTTGGGCGCCTCTTGGGCCGTCTTGGCGCCCTCTTGGGCCGATTAGGGGGCCTCTTGGGAGCCTCTTGGGCCGTCTTGGGGCGGTCTTGGGGGCCTCTTGGGCTGTCTTCAACGCCCGGGACCCAAATACCGAAATCGCCTGCGGCTTCCCGCGTGCCCCCTGGGGCTTCCCGCGTGCCCCCTGGGCTTTGGTGAGTGGGGGCGCGTGAATGTTTCAGGCCCACGCCAGGACGGGCCGATGGGGCCACACGAGGCATCCGAGACGGTCCAAGAGGGCCCAAAGACGCCCAGATATCGCCCAAGCCGCCCTCAAGATGGCCCGAGAGGCCTCCAAGAGGCCTCCCAAGAGGCTTGGCAAGCTTTTGGCGTTCGCGCCTTTTCGGCTTTCCGACGCTCCAAGACCACCCCAAAACAGCAAAAGAGGCCTCCAAGCGGGCCCCAAAACAGCCTCAGAGCGCCCCAAGACGGCGAGGCTCACGCCTCTTGGGCGCCTCTCGGCGCGTCGCGGAAGCCTCTTGAGCCGTCTTTGGGCCGTCTTGGGCATGTTGGACCGTCTTGGAGCCGTCTTGGACCCCTCTTGGAACGTCTTGAGCGCCCAAGACGGCCCAAGAAGCGCCCAAGAGGCCTCCAAGACGCTCCGAGCGGCCATTAGACCGCATCCCTCCCCCCTCCCCTGGACCCCTCCCTAAAGGACTTCGCCAAAACACAACGTCATCACTCGTACCTCGCTCTTTCCGTTACCTGGCCCGGCACAGCAATGGAAAGAGCGCTTCAGAAACAGAAACCGAAATTACTCACACCACCGTTCGTACTGGGAGCCTTGGCGTTGAGAGCTTGTTACGTCACCCCTCGCTCTTGGGAGCCTTGGTGTTCAGAGTTTGTTGCATTGCCGCCCGTTCCTGAGCCTTGGCTGGGCCTTGGTGTCAGAAACTTGTTACGTCATCGCTCTCTGCTGGGAGCCTTGGTCTTAATAGCTTGTTTACGTCACCGTTCGCTCTTGGAAGCCTTGGTGTGAAGAGCTTTTTGCGTTACCGATCGTTCTCTATTTGGGGTCTCTGGGCCTTCTTGGGAGTCCTATTGGGCCCCGTTGGAGCCCATTTGGGGGCCTCTTGGGGCTTCTTGGGGGGCTCTTGGGGCCTCCTGGGAGCTTCTTGGGGCGAAAGGCTAGACTTGTCGGTTCGTGGTCCCCCTCTTGGGGCCGTCTTGGGCCCCCCCCGGGCCGTCTTGGGCGCCTCTTGGGCCTTCTTGGGGCCCTCTTGGGCCGTTTTGGGGTCCTCTCGGGGGCCTCTTGGGCCGTCTTGGGGCGGTCTTGGGGGCCTCTTGGACCGTCGTCAACGCCGTGAAAGCCGAAAAGCCGTGCATGCTCAAAATGTACCTTTTTCCTATCGGAAGTCAATGCTTTTGGCCTCCTGGTGGCCTCTTGGGACGCCTCTTGGGGGCCTCTTGGGGGGCTCTTGGGGCCTCCTGGGAGCTTCTTGGGGCGAACGGCTAGACTTTTCGGTTCGTGGTCCCCTCTTGGGGCCGTCGTGGGGCTCTCTTGGGCCGTCTTGGGCGCCTCTTGGGCCGTCTTGGCGCCCTCTTGGGCCGTTTTGGGGGCCTCTTGGGAGCCTCTTGAGCCGTCTTGGGGCGGCTTTGAGGGCCTCTTGGGCCGTCGTCAACGCCGTGAAAGCCGAAAAGCAGCATATGCTAAAATTGTTTGTTTTCCGATGGACAATCAATGATTTTGGCCTCCTGGGGCCTCTTGGGGGGCCTCTTGGGGCCTCCTGGGAGCTTCTTGGGGCGAAAGGCTAGACTTTCCGGGTCGTGGTCCCCCTCTTGGGGCCGTCTTCGGGCCCTCTTGAAAGCCTCTTGGGCCGTCCTGGGGCGGTTTTGGGGGCCTCTTGGGCCGTCGTCGACGCAGTGGAGGCCGAAAAGTCGCGTATGCTCAAAATGCACGTTTTCCCAAGGAACATCAATGATTTTGGCCTCGTGGGGCCCTCTTGGGACGCCCCTTGGGCGCCACTTGCAGGCCTCTTGGGCCGTCTTGGGCGGTCTTGGGCTCTCTTGGAGCGCTCTTGGGTCGTCTTGGAAGTATATTGAGCCTTATTGGGCGACTCTGACGGTCCAAGAAGCGCCCAAGAGGTCTCCAAGACGCCCCGGACGGTCATTAGATCACATCCCTCCGCCCTCCCCCCCTCCCCTGGACCCCTCCCTAGTGGGCTTCGCCCAAACACAACGTCATCATTCGTATCTCGCTCTTTCCGTTACCTGCTTGGCACGGGGACGGAAAGCGCATTTACTTTCAGAGCGCGAGATGTCGCTGGCTTGCCCGTTCTTTCTCTCAGTCTCCCCGTCTGGGGGCTCTCTTGGGGCATTTTGGTGGCATAGTGGGCGCCCTCTACGGCTATCTCGAAGCTGCAGGAGGCCTCTCGAGGGAGAACCAGGGCGTGTTGGTATATTGGGAAGGCACTCCAGCGCGATAAAACACGAATTAAGATTAGGATAATACTGTTGTTGATGATGATGATGATGATGATGATGATGGTGATGATGGTGATGATGATGATGATGATGATGATGATGATGATGATGATGATGATGATGATGACAACGACATGCTGTCTCTTGGGAGCATCTTGGGCGTCTCCCGGGCCCTCCTTGGGCCGCCTCTCTTGGGGCCCTTCTGGGCCGTCCTCAGGCTCTCTTGGGAGCCTCTCGGGCCGTCATGGCACAATCTCGGGGGGCTCTGGAGCTGTATCGGGCTGTTCTTGCCCGAAAAGGCGAGGAGCTGAAAAACCTTCATATACCTAAAGGCAACAATGATGTATTCGTCCTTCAACACTTTTGGGGGTCCTCTCGGGTGCCGCTTGGGGTGTCTTGGAAGCCTCTTGGGCTGTGCTGAGGCCATCTTGAGCTATATTGGATCGCTCTTGGGCCGTCTTCGGTCCCGTCTGGGCCTCTCTCACGCCGTCTTGGAGGTGCCTTAAGCTGGCGAGGAGCTTATGCAGGTAGGGCGGGGCCAAGAACGCCCCCCGGGCGGCGAAAGCCATACTTTCATTTTGTTGTTCCCGCTTAGACCGCCCATCGGTGCTCGGGGGGGGTCTTGGAGACCTCTTGAGCCGTATTGAGGCCGTCGTGTGCCATCTGGATCGCTCTTGGGCCGTTCTCGGGCCTGCCTGGGCCTCTCGACGCCGTCTTGGAGGCCTTTGAGGCTGTCTGCATACGTGCAGCTGTTCGAACAGGTCTTGGGGCCGTCTTGGGGGTATCTTGGGCCATCTTGGGGCGATCTTACGGGCCTCTGGCCTCTTGGGTCGTCTTGGAGGCATCTCGAACCGTCTTGGAGGACGCTTGGCCTCTCATGGGCTGTCTTGGACATACCTCAAAATGACGAGGACTTTATGCGCTTACGCGAAGCCTACGCGGAGCTTACGCGGAGCTTACGTTGCCGCCCATTTCGGGCCCTGGTGTCAAGAACTTGTTACGTCACCGCTCTCTGTAGGGAGCCTTGGTCTTATCAACTTGTTTACGTCACTGCTCCCTCTTGGGAGCCGCGGTGTTCAGAGATGTTTACGTTGCCGCCATTGGACCTGAGCGTGCAATTTCCTCTGTTAATGGTCCGTTATGAGGGGAGAACGCGTCCGTCACCCGATTTTCCCTGTTAAGCACCCGATGTTCCCGATGTTCCCTGTTAAGGGCTCCGTTAACAAAGAAAAGGGGTGCCCGAGCGTAAAATTCCCCTGCTAACGGTCCGTTAACAGGGAAACGGGCGGGCCAGTAAAGCACCAGATTTTCCATGTTAAGGGCTCCGTTAACAAGGAAAAGGGCGGGCCAATAGACAGTGCAATGCAAATGCCACCCCCCTCAAACTCCCCCTAAGTTCATTTCTTCCGACTAACGGATCGCACGCTACGCGCGCTTTCCGTCATCCGCCACGCCCTGTCGATTCATCGCAAGGGTGCCTGGCGTGCTGAATCCTCTCGGTTTTGGTTTTGGTTCTTTTTCCAAAAAAGACTCCCCCTGAGGCTTCGGCCCATCCCGCCGGCCACCCAGAAAGGAGTGCAATTGCGCAATTGTTCCTCCAAGACGGCTCAAGATGGCCTCCATGATGGCCACGTTGGCCCAAGATGGCCTCCAAGTCCGCCCAAAAGAAGAGGAGATGCCTCCAAGTCCGCCCAAGAAACCTCCAAGACGGCCCAAGAGGTGCCCAAGAGGCCTCCAAGAAGGCCCAAGAGGCCTCCAAGAGGTCCTCCAGGAGGGCCCGAAGAGGCCTAAATCATGAATTCCTTAGGTTTCTTACCAGCTTTTCGTATTTGCTCTTGTTCGGCGTTCCGACGACCCAAGACGGCCCAAGAAGCCCCAAAGATCGCCCCCACAGCGCCCAAGAGGCCTCCAAGATGGCCTCAGGATTGCCCAAGAGGCCCCTAAGACGGCCCCAAGAGGGCACAAAGACGACCCAAGAGGCCTCCAAGACGCCCAAGATGGCCTCTAAGACGGCCCTGGAGTACCCCAAGAGGGCCCCAAGTCGGCCCAGAGAGGCCCCCCAAACGGCTTCCGACGGCGTCAGACGGGCAAGGAGCCCACCAAGATGGCCTCGAAGTTGGCTCGAAGCTGACCCAAGACGGCCCAAGAGGCCTGCAAGAGGGCCTCCAGGAAGGCCAGAAAAGGCCAAACACATTGATGTTCCTGAGGTGAAGGATTTTGACGTTTGCTTCGTTTCGGCCTTCCTACGGCCCGAGACTGCCCGAGGCTTTTAAGACGCGCAAGATGGCCTCCAAGACGGCCCTGGAGCACCCCAAGAGGGCCCCAAGTCGGCCCAGAGGGGCCCCCAAAACGGCGTCCGACGGCGTCCGACGAGCCAGGAGCCCACCAAAACGTCCGAAGATGGCCCTAAGATGGGCTAAGACGGCCCAAGAGGCTTCCAAGAGGGCCTCCAGGAAGGGCCGAAAAAGGCCCAAAGCATTGATTTCCCATGAGTTTTTGAAGGATTGTGGCATTTGCTTTTTTTCGGCCTTCCGACGGCCCGAGATGGCCCAAGTGCCCCCAAAGATCGGCCAAGAGGCCCAAGACGGCCCCAAGAGGCCCCCAAGACGGCTCAAGAGGTCTTCAAGACGCTCAAGATGGCCTCCAAGACGGCCCAAGAGCCCTCAAAGACGTCCTCCAAGAAGGCCCGAAAGGGTCAAAATGGCCTCCACACGGCCAAGATGACCTTCAAGATGCCCACGTGTTCCCCGAAGGCTTTCCAAACCGATTCGGGGAACACATGGTCCGATAGCTTGGCAGGTCTGGCCACAACGTTCGGCCACATAGGCGCTTCCAAAAAGACAGGGGGCGGCGGTGGTTCGCCGTAGGCGTCTTCGATAAGCCCTCGAAACCGAAGGGACAGGGTTCATTGATGCTGAAAGCAAGGTCTGAGGGGGATCGTTAGGCGGGCACCAGCCCAGGGGGGAAAACATCGAGCGCGAATCGGCGATACATCGTCGATGGATCGGCGAGAGGCCTTGGGCGGAGTGGGCATGAGGGCCCTGTCGGCGATCAATGGGCATTTGGGTGTCGTCGCACCCCCCCTCCCTGAGCCTATCTTCACCGAGCGTTGCCCGTCGGGTTCTGGAGAAATCCCGGGGCTTCTCCCCCGGCCCGCTTCTCATCCCAGGGGCGTGCTCTGACAGCCCAGCCTGGGGCCCTAGGAGCGCAACAGGAGCCCGAGCGGGGCAAGAAACGCCTCCGTCTGGCCACTCGTCCTTCCATGCGGACCCACACGCCGCCCCCGCGCCGCCCGAACAAGGGGGATCGAAGAGCAGAGAGGGAGAGAGCGAGGGCAGCGGCGCCGGGCCTGGCCAGGGGGGGCCCCCGTGAAACACGCCCGCGCCCAGCGCAAGCAGGGCATGGGCCGATGATCCTCGGCACGCGTGCTGGTGCAACGCGCGCTTGTCCACCGAAGCCGCCCAGTTCGACGCAGACTGCGCTATGATGAAGGGGCCCTGGGACACACAAATAAATACACACAAATAAAAATATCCCCCATATTTTGCCTTATTTTCTTGGTTTTTGTTTTCCCCCCACTTCCCATATTTTCCCATATTTTCTGGGGAATCGACGATTAATTGTGTCTGTGTGTTTTTTCCCCTCCTGATATGAGTTCCCGCGCCAGGCTGCGTGCTCTCGGCGGAGCTGAACGGGGCAACGCACACGTCGGACCAGCAAGCGTCCTCCTCGAACGCTGGCATGGGCCCGCGGCGCGGCCGGGGAGACCCGCGGCGCGACCGAGGAGATCCGTGCCGCGGCTGGGGAAGCCCCGCAGCTCTGGACGCCCGAAACTGGCACGGAAAGAATGGGTACAATGCCCAACAGCAGTCCCTGCTCACTTTGGACAGGGCGCGCTGTCGGTGTCGCCGCGGCCTGTGTTTCAATTTCAGCCAGCAGGCCGCCTGCCCAACAGCGGCCGCTGCTGGTTTGGGACAACATTTGTTGTTGGGCATTGTGCCCATTCTTTCCATGCCCATTTCGGGCGTCCAGAGCAGCCCTGCAGGCCGCAGCGCGGCCGGGCCAGAGCCCCGCTGCCGGGGCTGCGCGCTCAGCACGCGCCCGCCACGGCCACGCGCAGGCCCGCGGCGGCCGCGGAGTGCGGCTGGCCGGCCCGCGCGGCGGAGGCGTCGGCCGCCTCTCGAGGGCGGAGCGCCCCTGTGGCAGCCGCCGCCGCCGCCGCCGTCGTCGTCCTCGTCGTCCTCGTCGTCGTCGTCGTCGTCGCCGCCGCCCCCGAAGGCGTCCCCTGAGGGGGGCGCACCAACGCCACTCCCCCGTCCACTCCGTTCGCCCGTGCCCCTTTTTCCCCACTTCGTCCCCGTGAGGCTTGATCCCATTGATCCTCGTCCTCGTCCTCTTCCTCCTCTCTCCTCCTCTCCTCTTCTTCTTCTTCTTCTTCCCCCTCCACTTCCTCCTCCTCATCGGGCGGCCTTCCGAGAAGGCCACCCGCAGGCTCTTCGAAACTTTCGAGGGGCGGAACCCTTATGAAAAGCCCGCTGCATCGTTTGAGAATCAAGTGAATCGCCCGTCCAGGGTGAGGTGATTACAGTACCAGCGCGAGGCCACCCGCGAGCGCTTCGAAATTCTCTCGAGGGGCAGGACTCTCTCGAGACGCCGGCTGTGCCACGTGACCATGAAATGCGTGGTGCACCCAGGGCAAAGTGATTCAAGTACCAAGGCGCTCGCAGTGAAGCCAATGCTGTCGCGCTGCCTTTCATGAGAGGCCAGTCTGTCGCAACGACTTATCCTCTCAGAAGTCACTGAATGTGTCATCCACGTGGACGTGGCCACTCGGAATCCATTCTTATTATTTGAGGCATCATGCGAGGAATGTGTAGAACACAAAGAATTCAGCATAGTGGCAATGCGCTCGCGGTTTCGAGTGAGCAATGCCGCGTCGCGTCGCCACAGGTACGCATGATCTGCTAGCCCGAACTGGCCATTGCTGGACTGATGCAAGTAACTGTACGACAACTTCCAGTTGGTAACCTGGAACGGCGAGCTGGAAGCATAACAAGACATGTGCCCAAAACTAACCCCACGACGTCACAGAGATGGGATTGAGCACACACGACATGTATCGAAAGGCGCTGCGAATTCAACACGCCCCGCTACCTTGGGGTCACAACGGAAACTACGCAGCCTGCAAGAATGATAACACGCCTGCCTTCTCAGAAGGCAAACACCCTCGCCCTGGCCCTGTGTGCGCGCCGTCCTCCTCCTCCTCCTCCTCCTCCAACTCCTCCTCCTCCTCCTCCTCCAACTCCGCATCCTCCTCCTCCCCTTCCTCCTTCCTCCGTCCTCCCCTTCCTCTTCCTCCTCCTCCTCCTCCTCCTCCTTCTCCTCCTCCTCCTCCTCCTGCTCTTGCTCCTCCCCCTCCTCCTCCTCCCCTCCTCCTCCTCCTCCCCTCCTCCTCCTTCCTCCTCCTCCTCCCCTCCCCCTCCCCCTCCTCCCTCCTCCTCCTCCTCCTCCTCCTCCTCCTTCCTCCTTCCTCCTTCCTCCTTCCTCCTTCCTCCTTCCTCTTCAGCCCTTCGGCCTTCGTCCTTCCTCCTTCCTCCATCCTCCTTCCTCCTTCCTCCTTCCTCCTTTCCTCCTTCCTCCTTCCTCCTTCCTCTTCCTCCTTCCTTCCTCCTTCCTCCTTCCTCCTTCCTCCTTCCTCCCTCCTCCTCCTTCCTCCTTCCGCCTTCCTCCTTCCTCCCTCCTCCTCCTTCCTCCTCGCTCCTCCTCCTCCTCCTCGCCCCTCCCCCTCCTCCTCCTCTCCTCCTCCTCCTCCTCCTCCCCTCCTCCTCCTCTCCTCCTCCGCCCCTCCTCCTCCATCCTCCTCCCCCTCCCTCCTGCTCCTCACTCCTCCTCTAAGCCTTCAACCCTTCCTCTTCCTCTCCTCCTCCCCTCCTCCCTCCTCGACCTCCCCTCTGCCCCCTCCTCACCCTCCCCCTCCTCCCTCCTCCCTCCTCCTCCTCCTCCTCCTCCTCCTCCTCCTCCTCAGCCTTCAACTCCTCCTGCTCCTCCTCCTGCTCCTCAACCTTCCCCTCCTCCTCCTCCTCCTCCTCCTACCAACTTCCCCCCCTCGCTCCTCCTCCTCCTCCTCCTCCTCCCGCCTCGCCCGCCTCCTCCTCCTCCTCCTGCTTCGTCCTCCTCCTCCGCCTCCTCTCCTCCTCTTGCTCCTCCTCTTCCTCCTTCGTCCTTCGTCCTCTTCCTCCCGCCTCCTCTGCGCCTTCTCTCCTCCTCCTCCTCCTCCTCCTCCTTCTCGCTCATCCTCCTCCCCTTCCCTCTACCATCCCTCCTCCCGCCTCCTCCCCCTCCCTCTCCTCCCCTCCTCCTCCTCCTCCTCCTCCTCCTCCTCCTCCTCCTCTCCTCCTTCCTCCTCCTGTCATCCGCCTGAACCCGCCTCCTCCTCCTCCTCCTTCCTCCTCCGTCTTCCTCCCTCCGCCTGAACCCGCCTCCTCCTCCTCCTCCTTCCTCCTCCGTCTTCCTCCTCTTCTTATTCCTCCTCCTCCTCCTCCGCCTCCTCCTCCTCATCAGCATCATCATCACCACCACCATCATCATCAGCCGCATCATCATCATCATCATCATCATCATCATCATCATCATCATCATCATCATCATCATCATCATCATCATCTTCATCATCATCATCATCCTCGTCGTCGTCGTCGTCATCATCATCACCATCATCACCACCATCACCATCATCAGCATCATCAGCATCATCATCATCATCATCACCATCACCATCATCATCACCACCACCACCACCGTCACCACCACCACCACCACCACCACCACCACCATCATCATCATCATCATCATCATCATCATCTTCTTCTTCATCATCATCATCATCTTCATAGTCATCATCATCATCATCATCACCAGCATCAGCATCACCATCATCATCAACATCATCATGATCAGCATCATCATCACCACCATCATCAACATCATCAGCATCAACATCATCATCATCACCACCACCACCACCATCATCATCATCATCATCATCATCATCATCATCATCATCATCATCATCATCAGCAGCAGCAGCATCAGCAGCATCATCATCATCATCATCACCATCACCATCACCATCACCATCATCATCATCATCATCATCATCATCATCATCATCATCATCATCATCATCATCATCCCCCTCCTCCTCCTCCTCCCTTCGTCCTCCTCCTCCTCTTCTTCTTCGTCTTCGTCTTCGTACTCTTCATAGTAGTATTATTCTTTTTCGTAATCGCCTTATTATTATTAGTCTTTCTCTTCGTCTTCTTATTGGTAGTATTATTAGTCTTCTTATTCATAGTATCCTTCTCATTATGATTATTATTATTATGCTTATGTTTCTGATTCGTACTATTCTTCCCATTCTGATTATTAGTATGATTCCTCCTCCTCCACCTCCTCCTCCTCCTCCACCTCCTCCTCCTCCTCCTTCTCCTCCTCCTCCGCCTCCTCCGCCTCCTCCTCCTCCTCCTCCTCTTCCCCGTCCCATTCCTCCTCCCTCCTCCTCCTCCTCCTCCTCCTCCTCCCTCCTCCTCCTCCTCCTCCTCATCCTCCTCCTCCTCCTCCTCCTCCTCCTCGCTCCTCCTCCTCCTTTTCTCCTCCTCCTCCTCCTCCTCCTCCTCCTCTTTCCTCGTCCTCCTCCTCCTTCCTACTCCTCCGCCTCTTCTTGCTCCTCATCCTCCTCCTCCCTCCTCCTCCTTCCTCCCTCTTCCTCCTCCTCCTGCTCCTCCTCCTCCTCCTCCCCTTCGCCCTCCTCTCCATCTCCACCTCCTCCCCCTCCTTCTCCTCCTCCTCCTGCTCCTCCTCTCACGAAGATGTCAACCATCCATCCACATCGATGCTGGCCAGGACCCTCCCCTCCCAAGCCGACCCTTGGTGTGGAATTGCGCCTCCCGGGCTTGGCCTGTAGGGCGTGTGTGCGCCGATCCTAGGCCCAAGATTGGCCTGACCAAGACCGGCATGGTTTGACAGTGTCCGGGCGCCCCCCGACCTTCCCCCCCCCTCTTGGTCCACCTCCAGTTCTGCCCTGCGGGCCTGCTCCAGAAACCCTGGGCACTCCAGGGTTGACCGACTTCTCTTCTGGTGCTAATCATTGCCTCCGCTGTGCCTCCACCAGCTTCCCTCCGCCAGCAGAGCCATGCTTCACTTCCGCTGGCTCCCGCCGAGGGCGAAGGGCCAAAGCTTCAGTGCCTCGAAGGCGAGGCCCCTGTTTGGAGCGCCCGCCATAACTAGAAGGGCGGTCTCCTCGAGCTCTTCAGGCCTGTTGCGAGGAGCTCGGACCTCCGACAACGTGACGTGTGTCAATGATGGCGTTTATGTTATTAATCTCGGCCGCGCGGGGCTTTCGGGCCTGGGGCTGGCTCAAACCAATCCGAGGCGAAAGCCGCCTCTGGAACGGGGTCGAGAGGTGAGGTGGCCACACATTGAGAAGATGACGGCGTCCCAGGTCTGGCAACGAAACACCGATCCGACCACTATCACTGACGTTGCTGATGCGTCGCAGTGCCGGTGCCCGTCGACACGGACCGACCCAAGCACGACATGGTGGTTCAAAACGGGCCTGAGAGATCTGCGCCGACCCCGGATCTTTGGGATTCGGCTGAAGAGATACGACGTCCAGCAGGTGCCCGTGCACAAGCCAGCCTGTGCCCGCAAACGCAGCTCCGCCATCGGAAAGCACAGCCAGAGTGTAACGCTCGATGGCAATGAAGCCAGATTGCAGGCGGGAAACACGTGATGCAATCGTCAAGAGGGGGGGCGACCAGCTTCTTCCGACTGGCGCCTCAAGCGAGCAGAGGCCCCACTCTTGCCCGTCGGACTCATCTTCCTTCTTCCCTTTTCCTCTGCTCGGGATTCTGTTTCCCTTATGCAGTGACCACCCACTTGGCTTGCCAGGCATTGCACGCCGCCTGGCTGTCCGTCCGTCCGTCCGTCTGTCTGTCTTCCCGGCTCTCTGAGCCGCGGCGCTTTGAGCTTCTTAGCTCGGGGACGCGTCGGCCACCGCCGCCCTCTCCCTTGTCGGTGGCCCTGACGAGGTTGGGGGAGAGGGTGCTGAAACGCGCCCAGAGTCCAGCAAGGCATG